CCATAAAGGCTGAATCATTACGAAGTGGAGCAAAACTTCGAGTACAACAAATGAAGAAAGTGTAAAATGTCAACCCGCTATAATGACAATAATGTGAAGGTTTTTAGACGTCATGTGTTGTAATATTTGCGCGAAGTACATAACCAATGAAAAGAAATATGTAAAATTAACTATGTGCTAAATAAAATTTCCGGGTATTCATGCCGGACTATCACATGATCACCGGAGCAGTAACTTGGTACACATTTTCGGGTTGCGTAATATTTGCGCGAATTAACTATCGCTATGTGCTAAATAAAATTTCCGGATATTCATGCGATTTTCCCAGCGTAACCATCAAAAAATCACGGGCATGTGATAATGATAAAAATTCCTAATTCAGTAAGATTAGGGTTAGCATTATATTATGATTAGCTAATAGTAAGAGTATATTAGTAAAATCGCTCAAGGAAATTTTTTTGTTAGTGCACTAAAGGTGGTTTCCTATGTAAATTTTCGAGTTATGTGCGATTTTTAGTAAAACGAACGTTTGTTTTAATTTTCCTGATCGTGCAACGTTACACCTGATCTTGTAATCTCATTGGTTTGCACCACGAAAATATCACGTGCCCGTGATTTTTTTGGTGGTGATACTGGGGTAGTTATATTCATGCCGGACTATCACATGATCACCGGAGCAGCAACTTGGTACACATTTTCGGGTTGCGTAATATTTGCACGAATTAACTATGTGCTAAATAAAATTTCCGGATATTCATTTCGGACTATCACATGATCACCAGAGCAGCGTAATATTTGCATGAAGTACATAACCAATGAAAAGAATTAATTATGTGCTAAATAAAATTTCCGAATATTCATTCCGGACTATGACATGATCACCGGAGCAGCAACCTGGTACACATCAGGGACGTGTGGATTTTGTGATTTACTGCGATTTTAAGGAATAGAAACTTATAGATTTTATAAGTGTAAATTCCTTAGAAACACCTTAAATCGCAAGCTCCACACGTCCCTGGTACACATTTTCGGGTTGCAGATGATTTAACTTTTTACGTAATAAGTAAGATTAAAGCGGACGGTGTAACAAAAATTGGTGTTTACAGGCTGCGCGGATTGCGCAGTAGATATTCTCTAATCTCTAAACGGAGCCCAAGATAATTTTTTTTAGTCCATGCTCCGGACAATCATTTATAACAATTACCTTATTAGTATTTTGTTGCTTTATATCGATATGAACTATTTTTAATCGATCTTAATTTTAAATCACGATGAGCTAAATTGGCCAACTTGACACCGTGTGGAAATATCAATTCCCTTATTTTGATATCAATTACATTTGGGCTTTAAAGTTTATTGTTTATTATTTGTTACTAAACTCAGCCCCTGAAAACAATTCGATCGGTAACATATATATAATATAGCGATAGGTGTTACCAAGAGAACACAATTTAATTATGTGTAATATTATAACACCAATCAGAGGTTTAATAATAAACATAAAAATTCGTGGCTTTTCCCTGACGGCATAAAAAGATGCAATTTTTGTTTAAAATTAAATTCTATTAATGTTAAAATTTAAATTATTTTAGCCGATTATTTAACATAGAACAGGGTGAAACTGAGTTTATTTTTATCATCATCAACGTGAATACGAAAAAAGGTGAAACTCGTGTTTTTTTTTTAGGTTACTTTTTTTGATGTAGATCTATATTAAATTAGGATTAAATATCATTTAGGTAATGATATGCATCAATAACGTAACAACCTCTGGCACAGGTTTCACCCTCTGCTATCGTATGATTGTTGTCCGATTATGTCCGCCTATAATTCGTAAACTTTAATTTTTATACGTTGAATTTACTGTATTTTCTAACTGCCCTCACAACCAATAAAGAACTGTAGAAAACTTGAAAATAGAGGATATCTGTAAGATGTGGGTACAATATGCAAAAGCATAAGTGCCAAGCTTTTTGATCTTTCATCACGTGGTTATAAAACTCGTATCTGTTCTAAACTTAACAATTGCCTAAATTTTTTAGAAATTTAAGAAAAACTTCAATAATTCCGTTCAATACTTTTGTAACAAAGATATATTAAAAATGATCTGAATGTTTGCAATGTTTATAAGTAATTTTAAATTCTACAGATTTCTAGAATTTGTAACTTAAAACGTGTCGTAAAATATTATATAAAAGACATGGGTCCGTTACATTTCATTGATTCTAAAATCTATAATAGATCTAGGGTATGGTACACAGTTGAGTGTTTATATTGTAGCATGGTAAATTCTAAAGTGAATTTTTGGAAACATATGCATTGATTTAAATAGAGATCCTGCGCGTACACGGGTCTAATTCATAGTAATTCATAGCAGATTCTATATCAAAGGGGAACTTGTAGATGACCTTTTACGGTATGGTACTCGAATGGAGAGTTTCAGAATCAATGGCTGAATTTCTGATTTTATAAAATAGATCATCTATTATTTCGTAATAATGATAATAATAGTATCATCAAAACCGAAAAGTTTATAAGTTTTCATAAAAAAAAGTTTTTTTAAAGAAAATAGGCATTTATTTATTTTCTAACTTTTGTAAGTTAGAAACACAACTAAAACTTTTAAGCTCCTACTTATTTCTAAATAAGTTAATTCTGAAACTCAAATGATAAAATTCACAGGATTATTCCTGTAATATCTTTAATTTTAAATGATTGTTAAGTTGAATTTATGATGAAAGATCGACAAGAACCTTGTACAAATTTTTTTCTATTACCAATAATGTAATTATTATTTTATCATCATTATTAATACTTTTTCCATCATTGTGACACTGTTTTCTGAAACAAAGATTTTTACTACCGAAAATAACTTATGGATTACACAACTTATTTTCATTTCGGTACACATTAATTAATATGTATTATACTATCATAGTATTCATTGGTGGCTGGTCGGAAATCTGTTTTTGTCAATGTCATAAGGAATACGATAAAATTCAATATTCAATCCCAAGTTATCATCCATGTATTCTATTCGACTAAATTCAATTAATTCCACAATATATATTATTTTACTTGTATAATTATTGAGTTCGGAAACAATAACTTGTATTTCACTAATACTATTTTAAGTAATAGTTATGTCCATTTACATTTATGTCATCTAAACATTTACACAGCATCTGTAAACACAACATGACGCGGATTGGAATTTTATAAAGCATAGAGTAAAATTTTATTATGGTCTTCATGAGCTTCCTTTTTAATTTTTGTATGTGTTTATAAATCTTGAATGTGTTTATAATCACCCCCAAAGTCGTTTAGTAAAGAATCAAATCTTTACAAAAATACGACAACTATGAAACAAGTAAATTATCCATTCATTTTATTAGCAGTTCTTTGCATGTTAATGCCAAGTTCCATTTTGGCTGTACTTCCTGGAACTTGGCCAGCAATGGATCTTCCTCCTCCGACAAGTGATATATATACAAACCTTGTAAATTTAACGAAGGTCAGTCAGGCTCCAGTAAATCCACTAAATTCTACATGTCCGACTGTTAACACTTATTGCCGTTGGACTTGTGATAATTGTATCCGAAGCAATGATATTGTTAGCTGTCCAAACAAACTTGGTAATTGTTAAAAAAAAAAAAACGAATAGTCATTTATATTACAAAAATAAAATTTATAAATCTTAATAATACTTCTTTCTTGTCATGATTAGATTGGGCTCTTACTTTGGATGCTGGACCAAGGTAAGCTTTTTTATTCAATTTAACTAAATATGCATAACTTAACATTATAATTTTATATAAAAAATTAATCATTTATTTGTTATGTTTGTTTCAGTGAATATACAAGTACGGTCCTAAACTTTCTAGACACACAGAACATCAAAGTTACATTCTTTGTTGTTGGTTCTAGAGTATATCAATATCCTGAAATCTTGCAAAGAATTCTTAAATCTGGTAAACTTTTTGTTTCATTCTGCATTTTTATTCTTTTTTTTTTTTTAATACTGAATTAATAATTTAACTTAATAGGACATGAAATCGGTGTACTTACTTGGTCAAATTCTTGGTTAACAACACAAACTAATGAACAAGTTATTGCAGAGCTTAAATGGACAATGGATGCAGTAAAAGCTGCTGTTAATATTACACCTAAATTCATGCGTCCACCATTTGGAGATTATGATGATCGAATTCGGGATATTTCAACTCAACTTGGTTTAAGACCAGTAATTTGGGATTTAGATACTTATGATTGGAAATCAGATGGTGATTCAACTTTTAATTTTTCTTGGATCGTAAATAATTTCACTCAATGGATAGCCGATCCAAATCTTAACAATACTGGTCATATATCTATTGAATATGATTTATATAATCAAACCGCTGCACAAGTTTCTTTAGTAGTACCAATTCTAAAAAATGCTAGTTATAATATTAAGCCAGTTTCTGTTTGTATGGGTATTAATCATCCATACGTTGAAGATGTTAATTTGGATGGTACACCTTTACCAATACCTACGAATACTTCAAATACGACTTTAAATGCACCTAATTCTGCTACTAATACAACAAATCAAAGTAATTCAAATAGTTCAAATAGTTCAAGTAGTAATCATACACCAATAATTATCGGAGTCGTAGGTAGTATCGCGATTTTAAGTTTATTTGTAATTATTGCACTATTAGTATGTAAGAAACGTAAGAAACGTCGATTTAATTCTGTAGCAGTATTTGGTGTTAATGTTGAAGATCGATTTCAAAAATTTTAAGAACTATTATCATATTTATAATTATTCAATTGTTTTTATTGATTTATATATTTAACTAGAAAGTAATTGTAGAATTATTTATAATTTTAGGAAAGATTTTTTACTGAAAGACATTGTTTTTTTTTTGTTTTGATGAATTTATAAAAATAATTTTAAATAGCTTTGATTTCAAATTCTACTATCTTTCGATATGTTGTGTCTAGGAATCTATGTCTTTCCTAATTAGCAGAAAATCATGTATTATTTTATTGCTTTTATTTGTTTTATTTAAAAGCATTACTTCGTCATTGTATATTTGCAAACTTAACAATAATAGCAGTAGAAGCTTGGACACTTTAATTTCAATATAAAATATATTTGATGCATAAATTTTTTATACGTATACAAAGTGAAATATCAAACAAATTTTTTGTAATGCATTTGAAATAACACGATCGGCCTAAGTTAAAATAATTTAGGCAAATCAATGTCAATCAGTTAATGCTGGCCAAAAATTCGGCAAGCGTTAACCTGAGGTACAACATATATATAAAATATACGTACATACGATATAAGGCCAATTTTCTGGTATTGATGAATACGTATGAACTTGCTAAAATTACTAATTTATCACGGATAATGATGGACAGATGAAACGAAGGTTAATTATAAAGACAAGAAAATTCGGTATGTTGCACACAACTTTTTTTTTTTATTGCATTAAAGTTAATCGTAAAGATTCTTCACTATGACTTGAACATATATAAATAGCTTGAATATATGGGAATAACTTGAATATGTGGAAATTATCTTTTAACTTAAGTAAGAAGAATACATTATTTAACATTACTATTTACGTTAGTTGTTATGGAACTAAATTGCGTAAGTAATCAACTAAAGTATTTCAAAACTTCGATCAAGTTTCTAACAAAATAAACCAATTTGATACAAACTACTTGTTGTTACTAAATTTTTTATTTTCATTTAGAGATGTTAGAAAGTTTGGTCTAAACCGATAAACCACAGTTTCTGTAACTGAAAAAATCGGTCCGCTTTCAGTCTTAAGACTGAACCGGCTCAGATATCTAAATTGCTTAAACCTTAAAAATTAAAAATATAAGTCACTAAGACTGGACCAAACTGATAAACAACCTTATTTTCAGTTAAAAACTTTCTACGCAAAATAATGCGAAGGTTTCGTTTTTGACACTACTATACTATGATCCTTGATCCTGAATCATCGAATTGAATCACGTTTATAGCGTTTATTCACTCAACAAGACTTGAATATCAATGAGAAATTCAAAAGAAGGGAAATGATATTTGTATTAAATCATGGGTTTACTTTTATTTTTTAAAAGAATTACAACTAAACGTTCCCTGTACAAGAACCTGTGCAAGAACCGATGTGAAATCTTATATACGAACCGCAAAATTTTCAATAAAGTAACAGCTTGCGTTATATCGATACGTATATACATTCCAATCGAATCGGGTGGTTGCATTCTGAGAATGGCGCAATTCAAAAATATTTTTGGTATGTTGCACTTGGCCTTATAAACTGTTTCATTTTATACAATGAATTTCTAAAAATAATTTATTGATAAACGCCTATCGCTATTACCAAAAAAAAAGATGATTCTTATACTGATAAGGACGATGCATGCATCAATAGTTCTTCAAGATCATCTATTGTTGAAAGTTAAAAACATTTTAATGATGTACGTACGTACACACATACATACATACACATAATTCCATCTAAACTGACCCAAATTGGCTTTATTAAATTGATAAGAATTCAGTTTTATTGTACCATTCATTGTCTAGCGCAGCAAAGCATAAAAGACTAGCACTGAAACAAATTTCTCCTGCAAATAAATGTCAATTTGGTCAATGTTTGCCATTATACGGCTTCGAACCTTTTTGATCATACTTTGATTATTCATTGTGTTATATTCTCAAGTAGATGCACTATTCGTACGTTTATAAATTTATGTAGCAAAAAGTTTTTCATACAATATCACATTACGATCTTTTGAATTCGCAGCATAATTTTTTTCACACAATATCACATTACAACTTTTTGAAATTCATGATTGAAACTTAATTATATTATAGTCGTTAAATTTATTGTCAAAATGTTGATTTTTGAATTTATGAAATTGTTTCCAAAACCTTACAACGTTTGATGTTGACCCGATTATGAATACACATCTTATTACATAGAGTTATTTCCGGTCGAGATATATATATGGGAATGGACTGGGAAACCCACCTTCTTTCAAACTGAGATTTTCCTAGTCCATTACTCATATATTCAATGTAGTAAGTAAAGTGTATTGATATAATAAATTTATTTACAATAAAACCTCCATAAGTGCACGCTCTTGCGACTAAACTTTACCAACGTGTACTTAGGGAACAATAAAAAAAAGTGCATTGGAGGTCTTACTATTTTGTCGTATTAAAACTCTATAAGGAAGATATGAAACTAACGAATAGAAATAGTGGAAGATGCAAAATCATTAATAAAATCGTTAAAATAACGAGATCAAGAAATCAAATAGAATTAGAAGTTGTATAAGGCACTATCTGCTTTTCACGAATAATAAAATGATCGTTATATCAAATAAAAAATATTAAAATTGATTTAGCAATAAAAAAAAAAAGTAAACGGAGACACATCACGTCTAAAGTTTTTTTTTTTATACAACGTCCCGTTCAAATTTTTTATAATTAATAAATTTATATAAAAATAAATTATCTTGAAAAAAAAAATACTGTAAATAAAATTTTTTAAGACTATGACAATAATGTTATACCCTCTTATGAAAAAGTCCACAAAAAAAGAATTGGTGGCATTTCATATTTTAATACTCTTGATTGATAGTCATTTTACCGATAGTAAAACAAAATATTATAAGTGAAAAAACCTAAACAATAAACAAACATAAATGCAATAAGAAAATAAACTTTCTACGTTCGTCAAAACAATCAAGTTGTTTACGAAATTATATCACTGAAAAAAATATAAAATCAAAAACATTAGAAATAATTACACAACTTCTCCCCTTTTATCACTCTCCCACCCACTACAATAAATAAAATTAGGGGCAGTCCGCGGCGAACCACGAACTACCCCAGCAGACAAAAATTATCCAGTTGAGACACCCCGTAGGATGTTCAAGACGGCAGCCGCCAACTATAGTGCAATGCCAGCAGCCACCGCCTATACAACCACCTTGTTGATCATGGTTGTATCCTGGCAGGTAAGTATAAAGTTTTTACATCTCTGACATGAGAGGTATTTATATTTTTTTAAAATTGTGGGATTTTTATTACAATTACTCACGTATTATATACTGACCCGTGATTATGATACATAATTTTAATAACTAATATTTATATATATATTTACTATGTAGATATATATATATACACGTAATTGCTTACAAATTAAATAATTTCAATTGATATCAATATATGTATGATATAATACATATGGGTCAGGGATGGGTCAATTTTTAAAATTCAAACTGGTTAGTATAATTCTGGCCATAATTCTGGTCTTCTGTTAGCATAATTCTGGTTGGCTCATAATGCTGCAAGCTGAGTATCCTGCGGTGGATTTAAAAAATGCACGGCTTGCTAAGGTGTTCATCAAACATTATTTAGGGTGCATACGATAAAAACTTTTTTATGAAAATCCGAAATTACTGCGTTTAATAACAACTTTCAGTACAGTTTTCTTTCGAACTAACATAATTATTGCTGATTTAAGAATGTATATAATTTACTTAGAATAATGTAATAATGACGGCTTTTTGAGTTATTCTACTTATGAGTAATTAATTTTTTAAAAAAGGCAAATCGATTTTATTTAAATTTTGACAATATAAATTTAATAAATTTTACAAAACAAAGGTTATTTTCAAAAAGAACAAAATAAAAGTTACAAAAATTAAAAAAAATTGGCATAAAAATATTATATTCTTAACTTAAAAATTATACTTTTATTTAATTAATTAATTAATAAAATATTAGCAAGCATAAAAATTAAACTACATTATAAGGGTATGGCAACTTAATGAAATGGATAAGTTGTCAACCTCCAAGTTGCAAGTTGTAAGTTCAAAACCTACTGAAGATGAAATTTGAAAAAATATATCTGTATTACAGTAATGGCATTTTGTTAATTAGTTGGGTTAAAATATCTGTAACTACAGTTGCAACAGCATGATTAGCAGGTCAAGGGATATTTGTGTAATTTTGGTTACACAGAATAATGCAAACCAGTACCAGGCAGTACAAATCTAAGATAAGTTCTTGTAATTGTATAAATCTGTAAGATTGAGAAAAACTGAAACTTATTTGGAAAAATTTAAATAAAAAGATAACATAGTTTTTTAATATTATTATTATTAAAGTTAGACTTAAAAAACAGATATTAATATAAAGAAATTAGGTAAGTAAAAACCTCAGGTAAAGGGTATTATCAACCAGGGTGTTGGAAATCTCAAATTAAAGAAAAAGAATATCAGATGTCATAACTCTGATATACTAAGAACAAATTACAGTCCTACTAGATTATTTGAATTAAAAGTCTGATAATAAAATAAAAAAAACTATAAATATTAAAAATATATTATAAAGTTGATACTAGAGTCTAGGTAAATTTTACAAAAATAAATCTTATTAATATTTTATAAAAAAATAGATAGATTAGTTAACAGAAGACTTACAGTCAGATAATATATTCTGAAATATATAACAGCTTAATAGACATATAAAAAGAGAGGTTATAATTAGGTTAGACAACACTTAGATATATAGAAACTTGTATACTATCTATTAGATATAATATAAAAATTAGAGTATTTAATTAGATAAATTTCTAATAGATTACAAATATAATAGTTAGTATAGAACCTATAGGCAAACTCTTAAATAAATAAATTTCTTCTTTATTTAAACCAACAAATTTATAAACAAATATGGATCCCATATTGTATTTCATG